CAAACATGGTACCTTTATCACTTTCCAACCTAGTGTACTACAACACTTCTCCAATTCATCGTAGATGTTGTCACTTATTCATTTTCATGTAAGTTAAAATGGCATCTACAGAAATCCACATCACGTGAGTGACGCGTGTATGTTGGCCCGACTGTACTAATGACTCACCGCCTTTTTTACTGGGGTTACATTAATAAAAGGTCGTGTTCTCTATCGCCCCTTGTTCCACTATTCTCAGGTTTTTATAGGCTACTAACTGTTGAGTTATAAGGTATTGCTATCGAATAAAAAATAGTGCTATATATGTGGTATATAGCACTCAGTATATTCTCAAATGCACGACTTTTGGCAACTTAAATCATGGCGTAAAACAAAATATCAAGTAGGTCATTTAAATTGAGCAGCTACTGTATGCGTGAATATATTGACATGCGTTTTTATTTAACTGATTGGAGGTGCACTTTTTATCATTTAGAAATACTCAAAAAAACTGGAAAAACAGGCAGAAAAGTCTTTGACTGAGTGCGTCTTTAAGGACTATGTCGTCACTGCGTTTAGTAACAATGTGACGCAGAATTTGCGCGTATACGTCGACATGGAACCCTCCTTTACAGAAATGATTTATTTGTACGGCAAGGATGCGCAGTTTTATAACCTTGAGAATAATACGTGTACTGGATTCTGCACTAATTATAAACGGGTAAGTAACCTTAACCTTGGTCGATTCGTGAGTTACCCATATTTCTCTAATTTATACATTTCTCAAACAAATTAACGACAGTATTCTTTATTAGATAGTCTAAACGCTAATACTTGCTAACATTGCCGCGGATATGGCGAACAATAATGTCCGTGTATACGAGTTAATTTGCTTCTAAACGTTTCCACCAAAATTCTATTTATGCATAACAGGCCTGATGCAGAAAATCATCTCTTTATTTGATACGCAGAACTACACATTAAAATCAAATTACAACGTATAGTGATGCCAAAATGTTTAAAATCACTTTGAAGCTGCTAATTGGTGTTGTGACATTACAAGTTCCTTTTTACTGGTCATCAGAACAATTTCACGAAAATGGTACTAAAGATTACTTCCTTAACTTGTCTATCATTTTGCAGATTGTATGGGCAAATTCCACCAGAGTTGGATGTGCAATGCATAAATGCGGAGCTTTTGGCACTAGGCTCCAGCACCCTGTCTTCACTGTGGTTTGTCAGTACAATGTTACGTAAGTCGTGGTGCTAAATTACCATGAAACTAAGTAACAAATGAAAAATGTTTCGGTGGAACACTGGTTGGGGCCACAAAGTGTTAAGATACATATTCTAGAAGTTCTCCGTATCTCTGAAATAAAGTAGCAGCATGGTTGCCCTTTTAATTAAGTATCAAGTTGAACATATCCTGCTCGTGTTAAATACATTTCTGTGAAGTTTATATTGTGTTGGTCATTTGCATGTTTTGATTTTTAAGAGAAGAAATTAAGGATCAGCGACCATACGAAGAGGGTCTTAGCTGCAGCAAGTGTCCTCCTGGATACAAGTGCCGTCACAGACAGTGTGTCGAAATGCGTGAGACAGGCACAGACATGTCGACCATCGCTCAAGAAACTACAACAGATTTTTATTTATAAATCAATGCGGGCAGAAGCCAAATGACTGTAACAGTGCTTTTACCTCTATCATCTACTTAAATGTGTGATGTTGCCTAACTATCCTGTTTTATCTAAAATTTCTAGATGCAGACATTTCACTATCGACCGGATTTCTATGGTGCAATAGAAATTTGCATTTCTTAGTCCTAACCCCTTGCACATAAAAGCTTCGTTGTTGAATTTATAGCATAAATTGTTCTGTTAGGGTTTGATGCTGTTGGCTCATTAGAAGTGAATTTCATTAAATAGTGAGTAAAAGCAAGTTGTAGCCACACTCATGACGACGTCAACTTAAGGGATTAAGCTCTAAGTAATCAGGTTATGCAGTGTATATTTCATTAGAAATAACATTTGAGCAGTTATTTCTGCAATAAGCGTAAATAAACTATAACATATTCTTTGCCTATCTAGGTGCTTCTAGTAAGATTAACAAGTTCACATCAGTGAAGTTGTGTTATGTTATTGCTAAATACGTTGCGTGATTTTTTGTTTTCCAGTGAATATTATGATTGTTGCAAAACTTCAACTTTGCATTTTGATTTAGTAAACATCTCAATGAAGAATGCATTATTTGCTTAACCCTCACCTAACTATTAAGATCAACATTTGCACAATAAATACGTCAAACAACTCTGGCTTTTCTACATTACTTAATTTAAATATTCTGCCGAAACCGAAGTGTGTATCATCAAAGTTCAACCATCTCATATTTTCCAAACACGAAAAATGGTTTCTAATCATCACCTGAATTCACTTTAATCTTCTTAGAAACCCTGTCTTGACGACAATTGACCTATCTTACTATAGCATTAATGAAGGAAATTACAGTCAGTGTTTAATGTCAGAAATGTGCTTAAGTGAAATCATTTATGCCGACAAGTAGGAATAAGGCCTAAAGGTATGCGTTTGTTCGCATCAGAAATTCAGGATATCTGTCCACCGCAGATGAAATTCTGATCCACATACTCAACAAGGGCTAAGGAATTATCAACGATTTACTCAGATTTCGTAAAATTTTGCACGTGGTAAACTGGCACTTCACTCCCTATGCAACACGCGCCATTGTAAGACGATGGACCTCTTAGGCATGTAGGCGGCTATCTATGGCCTGACGAGCATTATGCGTGGGCACAATCTGTAGATAATTTTCACGTGAACTGGAGTTGATATTTGGGCCTAACCAAGAAAGAACCTTTTACATGCGTACGCAGTATTCACTAGCTGATGTGGATATTTCGAAAATGCAAGTAGACTCTCCTACCATCCGACGTTACTAGAGAATGCATTTGCTTTGAAATACATAGAAGGTAAATTTCTTGCTGCTCATCGTCTATGCAAAAACCCAAGTGGCTGCCGTGAAACAAACAAATGTCACTTGTGTTTTTTTTTAATTTATGCGTAAATTTAAGTGACGCACTTCTAATTGCGCCAAGACCGATGTCTATTAGGCTAAGAGGGGTAGAGCACAATTAAAATATTCGAAGAGTTAGTATTCAACTTTGTTAGCAACTTTGTGCATTCAAATTAGTGACTGAAGAACAGGAGCTGTTGTGTGCCAGCAAAAGCAATAAACTGATTTTTGATACATACTAATTAACGTTTTCCTCTAGTCTAAGCGTCCTAAAATGGACGAATATGTCAGCAGTGTCAATTATCTAATGAAGTAGAAGCACCTCCCTCGAATTTTTTTATTTTGATAACGCCTGAACAAAACCCTATAGCCTTGCTAAAAAAATCGTACCAATATAAGAGTGAAATCCATCCACTTAGACACTGCTGTCACTACATATGTTGTATAACTATAATTTAATTTGGAAATCGTGATGTGTTTTGCAGCGAAATGTGCCGTCAAGTCCAACTGAATTGCTTTTCTTCCTTTGATGCAAGAATATACAAAAAAATAAGGAATTACATCAAGAATTTGTCTCTGTTTCCCCTTTAAATAGGAGGTATTATACAAATGGAACGCTGCATGAAAGACGTTATTTTTTGCGGGTTTTTGTAAACTTCTCGGTTTGTGGTGAGAGCTCCTCTGAGTGAACATGGACACAAAACAGGCCTAAAATGAGTGGTGTTATTTATCCATCTTGATTTACAACTTATACCTCCAACTTCAATCGAACTTAATGCAATTTTCTGGCCTATTCAACTATGCCTAACTGTTTCATATAGAGTCAAACTTGAAAGCAATGTGTTGTGAAATGATAGAGTTGGCTGGAATTAGGAGGGAAAACCAAATAATTATTAATAAGTCAAGCATTTGATCTTTAAGCATTCAGGTTCATGAATTTGATTCCTTTTAAGTACCATCAGTTCTGGGCATCAGTTGATAAATTCTACTTGCTATTACTTTGATGACGACAAACTCAAGAATGCCATTCAACCAATTAGGATAAAGGCTCATCTGCACTAATAAGTCACATGACATGTGTCTAGCATGTTACTGCACTTTGATGTGTTGGCGCAAGAGCGATTTAGTATCTGAGGTTATTTATGCCAGAAGCACAATGTGTGTAAGCCGGTTCGCACTCCACGATACCTCTCTTAATTACAATTTTAAAACCGGTTTACGTTTAACGCCTGCACATCTTCAAAAAACCTGGCAATTCGGTAGGCGCAATCACGTGCTGCTGCAGAATTCTTGCAGACCTTCACATTTTGCGTGACGTGTAACCAAGTTCAATATATCTATTGCACATTTTTCCACGTCATGGAAAGTAAAGTCATATGTGGGTGAAGTTATGCAGAACTGAAATGTTAAAATACTGCATAAATAGCGGTTTCCCATGTGAGTTCCTAAAAGAAGTCTGATGTCGTTGCAGTTTATGTGTCATAGGCATTGGTCTTTTCTGCTTATAGGGAGGCAGCATTTGTACAGTGATTGCAGCGGCACCATTATTCAGGCTGCAGACTTTCTCTAATACCTCTAAAAGAGTGTATTGGAAGTGCAAGTTAAGTGTTTAGTATCGTAAGATACATGGGCTTATTCGGCTGTTCAACTCATATTGTGCGCACTTGCCAAGGTAGATTCGTCTAATTTGGTTGCACTGGCTTATTCGCATCCCACTTCAGTCGAATAAGCCTAGATGACCTGCAAATTGTGTCCGAAACACGGCAAAAACTGTGCGAATCTCGTGGTATTTAGACGAAACTGTTGCACAAGCATTTATGGAATTATGGGTTTCTCATTCTGTGTTCACGGTCCTTCGTGTTCCCCTCAAAAAAAAATGTGTGCCTGTTGGAGTGAAAAAAAACTGATCCAACATGGTCAATTGGCACTTCCTCCCGTCGCCACTCTTCAAACACCAAAATTCGTTCCCTTGGCTCAATAGCTAACGTTTTAAAATGTTGCCCTTCATTTCTCAGTACCGTTGCCCCTACTCCAATACATCCATTGTTGACCTGCCCACAGCCACTGCAACATCCGAATCCTCAGCAGACACTCTCCGTTCTTGTGATGACTCCCCACTGTTACCCTCAGAATGCTTCGCACCATTATCCAGCAACTCTGGGACCAGAGCCCAAGGCACCGCGCCAGTCGAAGCCACCTCAGATGCCAACTTGGATGCTTCAGCCGGTCTACACCTGATTCTGGTGGTGGTCTTCGGCAGCGTCAGCTCAGAATTGTTTAACCACATGATATATCCACGATCGCCTACTCAGATCGATTATCATCTTTTGAAACGAAGCCTACGGTTATTACCGAGAGGCACATTTCCCTGCTCTTCCCCTCCCCCCAATCCCACCGTTGAGGGTGAACGACCACTCTAACGCCTACTTCCTGTCTCATCGGCTTCGTCTCCACACCCCAGTGTGATGGGAAAGGAATACAAAAGAGGTCACTGACGGTAAAAAAAGCCTCGAAAAAAGCTCCCTCTGGATCATCCGTGCCGACAGCAGATGTGGGCCTTCTTCCACCACTTCCGTGTAATGTTCACCGGAGGCCTGCTAGTAATTTAGAGGCTTCTGTATGAAGCACGGACGACGAAAAGCAGCAACACCGCTGAATGCCCTCTTCTCCCATGTAGCTCAGACAAGATATATCTGAGCCCCCTCGGAGATTGCTTAGAGCCAGTTAATACGTCAGCTAGAACTGCAAGACTGGTCTCGCCAACTCCTACACCTGAAGGTATGAGAACTTGATTTCTGCTAAAGACATTGCTACACCACCATCACCACCCACTTTTTTTCATCTGACCTCACAGGTGTCCCCGTGTTTACTTTTACAAGTTAATAGTTGTCAGAAATCACAATGTCAACTAAGACTTAATTACGAATTATTACGTTATCAACACTGGGCTGCATATTCGGCAGTGTATTTGCGTGTATGAGTAATTGTATCCCAATTCGTTTACGACATCCATGCCCATTAACTTACAGATATCCTTAAAACACGAAGAAAATTTTGTCCTATACCTCATCTATTTAAGTTCGTCGTAAGTCATTAATGAATGTTTCTATTTAATCAAACCGAACCGAGATGTAAAATGGCTTAGAAGTGGTAAGAAAGGAGAGGAACAGTATAAAAACACAAATATTGATGTGCTTGAGGAGCACATAAGAACACATATTTTTTCTAAGTTGTGAAAATTGGACTTAGGTTGCTACACCATATATTTTCTGGTTTTAGTTGCGTATCAGTCAATGATAGTGTAGAAGACTTATATCCTGCGATAAACTTACGTATATTTAGTCATAACCGCTTGTTAATGACACCTAGCATCTGCATGATGATGTTCTTTCACCTCTCGTATATTGGTCGATGTGTATAAATGCACAAATGACATTCGACACATTGACTAAAGCTAACATGCCTATTAAGAGGAAGCGTGATGTCAAACTAGTGGCATTGTGGACGGTCGAAATACAATTACCAGCTATATTCCCTTCGTATACCATTTTTTTTAGTTTTCAGCTGCATCTTAAGTCTCCCTTAGAGGCTTTATAAGCTGCAACGCCTGTTTTACAATTGTACGTGTCTGAATTTACGGCATTTTTCTTGAGGTGAGCTACACGGTCTCAGGACATTCACCTCTCGATATTTTAACTACGGTTCAAACAAAAGTACTATTATTTTCTAAACAGTCGTTTAAAAAGAGTGTTTATTAATCAAAGCAAGAAACAACAAGCCTGAGTTTAAAGTACGATGATTTTTAATGTTTCGAAAAATTATTTCTTTACAATATGACTACTTAATAAAATATCCCGTCAGAAAGTTAAGCCAAATGTTACGTGGAAGATGGAAGGAGAGAATCTAAGGAATTAAGGCAAAAAGAATGATTGGAGAATTGCGTAAACCGTGATTCTTCAAGTGGTCACTTAAGAGAAGACTGATGTAGTGGCAGAGGTAATGTGGGGAATCGGGACGTGTCGTTAGTAAATAGATTGCGGTGACTGAAGAATCCGTCAGCACAAGCTCTGCAACTGCCTCTGAAAGTGCAGGTTAAAAGTGCAAGTTTAGTGGGTAGTTTAATAATTCCAGCAATTCCACCAGGGTTAATTTGCCGTTTAAATCAAGCGGGTTTGTATGCACAAGCGACAAGTAAGCAAAAAATTGTTGTACTGGCTCATTGCGCATCTGACTTCAGTAGTATTAGCCCAGAAGAACTGCAAATTATGTGAAGGTTATTGCTAAAACTCTTACATTCTTATGATATTTCCAAAATTGTACCATTAATCTTGTTTTCCTAGACACTGCTTTCTGACAATTTAATGAAATCAATGCAACTGTGCATGAGAGTAAAAGTGCAGAGAAGCAAATATTGGAAGATCGAAGTTAGGTCCACTAAATACTTGTGTTTTGTATTCTGTCGCAGTCAAACTTGCAAAAATAAATATAAGAAACAAAAATTTTCTTATTTAAGCACATGTGTGTTAACAGTCCGTTTACAAAAATGGACATCTAACACTGCAGGGAAAAATCGTAAAAATAAATGCTTACGTAAAGCCATGGTCTACGGTTTCCCTTGCAGCAACCATTTACATACAAAATTTACCAAGACATTTAGTGTGGAGTAATGATCATCCCAGAGTACTGTGGTTGTCGCAGGAATTGTGAAGCCATGTCAAATTAATGTTTGTATAATTTGGCAGTAGTGTAGAATTAGGCGTCTGATTAAAGCAGATAACAGTGGACAAAATTAAGTTTTAATATCTTTACCTGACATGCACGAATTTTTTTTCACGAATCGTTAACATTTACTATGTACCCTTTGACTGTACATTATGGTTGTGTAGTGAATCGTGTTGACTCACGTTAAACACCCAGTCGTCGCAGCCTCACACATGGCCCCCCTGTTCACAACCTGCCCGTCAGTCACGTGAGGCCATT